CCCATTGCTTGCATTTTATTATTTTTACAAAGCAAATGTCTATCAATCACAGAGATAAATTAGAAAAAATTGTGCAAACATGACACATTGCTAAGATTTTTTCAGCATGCTATGTAATTATTAACCTGATTTTTTGCCATTGAGGGAAGCCATGAATTACAGATAGCATGGATGAAGTTAAATGCTTTTATATTAGATAAATTTTCTTATACAGTATTCTATATGTATGGCCATACAATATAATTGAAGCTTTGTCAGCTCTGTAGCCTAGCAACAGATAATACTGTTAGGTTACTGAATTGCTCCTGGTTGACAAGTAGGGAGTATTTTTGTGTTTATCATGTTTGCTAATGATGGGATCCTTTCCAAAAGGCTTGTCTTAATCTTAATTAGAGTTTATCAGCAGAGGTCTGCATGACATTGTGCAGACACTGATTTCATAAATAATAAAAAGTGCAAGTGAAAAATTTGGCAGGAGAAGAAGATATTTAAGACCACTGATTCTTGTAAGAGCAGCATGAATTTCCAAAATGTAATCAAGTTTGAACTGTGACTCTATTCTTTATTATCGAAACTTGCAGTACACTCCACTGCAGTTTTGACAGCAATTATGAGTATGATTTATAAGCTTCCTGTTAGGAACCAGATCTGTTTGCACAAGAATCTTGATCCATAAACATTACAAAGAACAGTAAGTCCACAGTTTTTCAGGGACTTCAGGACCTTACTCTGTCATTTTCATAGAAAGCTGTTTTTTTTGTTGTTGTTTTCTGGTTTTTTTTTTTTTTTGTTTGGTTTGGTTTGGTTGGGTTTTGTTGTTGTTTTTGTGTTGGGGGGTTTTTTGGTGTGTTTTCTTTTTTAATTTTATTTTATTTAAGGGTGTTGGTGGTTTTTTTCAAGTAGCAGAAATATTTGCAGTGAAAGATGTAGACAAAGAAGAGAACCCTGAAATAAACTTTCTATTTGGTGGAAGCTCTGGAGGTATCAGATAACTGCTTCAGTGCCTGATGTCATTTGGTAAAGAACTCATGCCAATGCAATTGGAATGTAATTTTTTGCTCTAGTTTGCACATCATGATATTCTTTAACTTTCTCATCTTTTGATGTTTAAATAAATGAGCATTTTTAATTCCTTGCAATGTGAACTAGAAAAAGCGTTCAAATAAATACATAGCATTTACAGACATTTTTATTCTCTTCTTATATTTGATATGTATGTGGTATATATCACATAAATTTCTTTGGTTTAACTTTAGATATAAAAGTTAATAATAACTTTAGATATTGCAGGCTCAAGAAGCTTATTTTCAATTTCACAGAGCTCTCCAATGTTTCAAAGCCTTCTGGTAATCTAAACCCTTCCTTTCTGCACTGGACAAGAGTAAGACTCTTCTTACCCCACCACATAAAACCACTAAGACCCCTTTCAGTATAAATGATGTGATGGAGAGGAAAGGTAGTCGGGTCTTCCGTTGCATACTCCACACAGGCACACACCTTTCCCTAGGTATTGCCTCTGATGGGGCGGTATGATTTGTCCTGAGATAAGAACACCAGGTGGGAATTGTCCTAAGAACAGAACACTGGGTGGGAATTGTGGGAGGAACTGCCTGGATTGCTTGCATAACGAACGCATTCCAGAGCGGGGAGGGCGGGGGGTGGCTGTGATGATTGTGGTTGACTTTGGTACACTTCGGCCTGCAAAAGGGTATCAAATGCTGGTGGAGACCGGGCCAGCTGGGCAAACTGGTCTCCCAAGGTTGCAGGCAGCTTCCAAATGGATTCCCTCCACCCTACCCCGGCCTCGGCAGGGACTCCTGCAGAGTATGTCCAGCCCGAAGATGGGGAACACTCAGTTTTGTACTGAGTAAAAGCACTTAAGATCCTGTCACATACGGAGATAAAATCCTAAAGTAGTTAAATGAGTGCTTTGTTGCTTTTAAATTGTGCATTCTGTAAAGCCAAAGACTCTAAATGAACCTGTTTGTTTTATAACCCTTTAGACTTACTTATAATATATACTGCATTGACAATATTTAGGTACTGTATCATCCATAAATTGAATTATAATCATCCACATAATTAGTGTTATATTTCTTGCACCTGACTGAGAGTCTTCCCTCTTCTACTCTGCCACAATGGATGACCAGTGTACTCATTATGGGCAAGAAGAGGCCCAAAATCACCAGTCTGCTGTTGTCTTGTCTTCAAGTCATATAATCATGACTATGTCAGAGGCACTGTCTGTCACTCGTCTCTATTAAAACTTATCTGATTGTTCATCCTTTCTCTTCTTCTGATGCCTTCTTGGCCTGGTAAAACTTTGGAGAACAATTTCACTCTTATAGGCTTTTTCTAACTAAAGGAAGAGTTGGTTAAAAAAATCTGGTCAGTTTAGTGAGAACTTCATCTCATATAAATAACAGTCCTCTACGTTTCCTTCTGAAATCTTCACGTCTTTGCAAATATTTCATGCAAACATCTTCCTGTCTCCTTCTCATCACCACTGGTACTTGGCCAAGGCTTCCATATTATCCCTTTGAAAACCTGTTGTTAACACTGCCCTTTGCTTTATGAAAAGCTGTTGTGCTCCTGAGATATTGCTGTATATATGTCAGTTCTGTCTTAGCCTGTGGAAATGTTTGTAGGAAGCAAGAACTTTTTTCCTGTTTTGTAGCTGCCACCTGTAAGGAAGCCGTTATCTCTGACAAAGATATCTGGACAGCACAGTAATTCAAATGATAGTCATGGTTGGAACTTCCTATTAAATTTGGAAGCCTCTGCTGGGTGCTCTGCACTTGACTGACTTGTACTCTTTCCTTGACTGTGCAGTAGAAGGCTCAAGAAGACTTTTCCACAGTCTTCCCGTTTTGCATGAAGGTCAGGGGAATAAAGTCATTTACATCTTTCAAGACAGCGGCCCTTGCCTTACCCTGTGCAGGGAAGCATAGAAGGGGACAAGTGAGGACTGCACCCTGTGGGTGATTTTTGCTGCAAAGGTGTTATGCTTCATTTCCAGTAACTGGAAGAATGCATCATTTGGGAGTTCATCTGGGGATCTAACATAACACAACATCATGTGCTGATGAAAACATGGGCGTGTATGCCATGATCACTTAAATGCCTCATTTCCTATAGAGTGGGATGAGAGAAAACAAAATAAGTGTACTTCTTGAGTCTGAATCCTGCTGGGCTGAAGGTTTGTATTCATATGCAGGAATGGATTTAACTTCTGTACTTCTGGTTACCTTTATTAAGCCAAGCTAGAGACTGTTGTGCTTCCAAAGCCATCACACATCCCACCCAGCTGTGCCTGCCGTAGGTGTGACAGTCTGCAGGAGATGGGTGGATCAGGCAGCTGGGGTCACTGCTCGCTTCAGCTGTCCGAGTTTAATCTGTTGCTGAACAGGAATCAACACCCTGAGGAGCTCTAACGCCAGGAGACTGAGTCAGCCTTTTAGCTGATCCAGACTGATTGCAGCTGGAGACCCAGTAATCACTCTTTTTTTGAAGGTTGGGTTTGTTTTTTTCCCCAAGGGTACAGCATGTCGAGACGTTTGCTGGGATACAGAAAGTTTCAGATTTGCACCATTTAATGCTGTAATCTTGGAGGCTAGTAAACCTTAGTATTCTTTGGTCCCCTCACATTCAATTTTTTGTAAACTTTGGAGCACCTTCAACTGCTGTGTTACTGAAGGGTGAATACAAAAACACTTTTCTGCTTTGAAACTTCTACACCACTTTGAGGTCTGGAAGCTTAGCGTATTTTACCACTGAAACACAGTGTTACTGATGCTGTTTTGTTTGTTCATCTTTGAAAGCTAATAGACTGGTTTAATTAATTGTCCAAGATTTCTCTAAAACAATGTCCTAATTCTTCCATTTAGCTGTGGCATATCATACACTGTTGTTATCTCCTCTACCAGATTTTTGCAACAAGTTGTTTTAAAACTATAATCTCGTTGAGGGGAAAAAAATGAAGTGCAGTTGAAAAGGCAGTTATGCCGAAAGATAAACACAGCAATATTACTTATCAAAACGAGTACAGTTTTTGCTTGCCTAATGAATGCAACATATAGGTTTTTCTATATATACAAAACCCGAGGAAAAAAAAAAAGCTTTATAACATATAAAGTATGCAACATTATTTCAGGCATAACTGTATTGGATATGCATCTAGGCCTGAGAGTGTAGATAACACAATATAAGTGCTTTGCCTGTCTAAACATGTTAAATAAATGAGCATTCACTATCGCATTCAAATACATTAGTAGATGTACTCGCATAGTTAATTTTCTTTTTAATGCACTACACGTGACATTTGCTATAGTGTATCTTTCTGTTTGATGAAAATTCTTCTACTTCCCCCCCCTTTAAACAGACCTTTATTTGAATAAGCCTTTATGGAACAGATCTTTGGCATATCTTCTTTTCAGGAAGTTCAGTCAGTGTAAGCAGAGATAAAGCAGTCATGTTACGAAGAATATTACATAAGGGAAGATTTTTTAGAGAAAAAGGGTGACAAACATAAGGGAGGGGAAGAACGCCCTTAAGAGGAAATCTGATTTCTTTCTTGCAGCTGTTTGATTTTATTGAGCTGTGATTTGCTATTCAAAATAAAGTGAACTTGGAGTTATGAAAAAATATACAGGAAGTTTTGTGAAAATAACGTTGAGAAAAGTGCTGTATAAATTATTTTCACCTATATCTTGATTTTCATATTGCTGCCTTTTTAGGAGACAAAATGAAAAATTCAAATGAATATTCATAGTGCAAATAGTTAGGAAAACTGTCCTCAAACTGTTATCCTTATATATGAAAATTCCTATATTGATAGAAGGAAGACAGTAAAAGTAAAAATTATATGCCTCTTTACCTTGAATAAGCCATTGAAATTTAAAAAAAAAAAAAAAAAGGAGTATGAAGATATGGCACTGATGTTTTAAGGTCTGGAATCTGATATCATCAATTAAATCTTTCTGCTTTTATGTTTCCTGTAGGAGGGCAGCTTTGGTGTACCACAACCAAGGCCATCTCAGAGGGTGAAGAGCTGATTGCCTTTGTTGTAGATTTTGACTCAAGGCTGCAAGCTGCCAGTCAGATGACTCTCACAGAAGGCATGTATCCTGCCCGCCTGCTGGACTCCATACAATTGCTCCCTCAACAAGCTGCAATGGCATCTATTTTGCCTACAGCTATTGTGAACAGTAAGTGATGAATACTATTCTCTGGCTGTTTTTTTAAAACAGCAGTACTTTAAGGCACATATGAAGAGCTAATCAGCAACAGTGAATTCAAGACCACAGAAACCACACCACAGCTCGAAGCCTGCTTTTGTTCCCCCATCATCTCAGATGAACTCACAGCTGTAAAAGGAGTGAAAACAGCAGTCTGGCGAGAGCCTCACCCAGAGTACCCAACCTGCCCTCGTGTGGACGTTCTGTGATCTGCTGCCAGAGGCAGTAGGATCAGAAGCTGTTCAAGTAGATAAGATAGGTCGGCTAGCTCTCAAAGTCCAGCCTCTGGTGCTCAAGGAAGCTTGTTGCTTACAGATGCAGCTTCTGGTAATAATTAATGATACTCAGTGGTAGAAAAGAAACACATCTCTTCAGTGGCTGTTTTAAAATGCAGTGGAGATCATGCCTTATAGCAGTGGCTATCCAAAAATGTATTTACGTCCTCTGGTCATCAATAGACCCTATCATGGACAAAATACAGTATGCAATTGAGTGCTGTCCTTAGAGAGGAGGGACATGAATGTTCCTGAATGGGGAAAATTCAGCTTGAATTAAATTTTATATCTTTAGGTTTTTAACTTTACACAGCCCTAGTTCCTCATTCTCCTTTCTAAGTACTTTTCAAATATATTGACTGCTACCATGATCCTCACTAGCCATCACCTAGACTTATTGCACATTCTTACCTCTCAGCACTTTGCAAGTCTATTCATTTAGACTCCATGTTGGAGCACTCCTCCATGTTTCCTGTGGTTTCTAACTATTATAATTAGTTATAGTGAACTACTGAACACAGTATTTCAGGTGTGAATGTACATGCAAGCACATGATCTGCCACTCAGACTCACACCTAATAATACTGAGTCTTGAACAGTCGCAACGTTTTGAAGCTCTTCAGACAGGACTAGTTAAAATATTCATGGTAATACATTTCATTCCATGTTTTTCTTTTATTGTTGTCATTGTTTGGTTTTTGTAAGTGCTTATTTTCTGGGTAAACAATTCTGATAGCTACACATTTATTGTTAGCCTATTTTAAAAGATAAACATTTCAGTGTCCAAATCATCCAAGTCCTCCCTTCCAGAGAGTGAGTTACAATATCCTCATGCCCCTTTAGCTAAGCACATTCATTTTTACCCCAGCAGTGGGGCAGCTGTGAGCTGATACACTTGTTCACAGAACCAGCAATTAGCATTGCACAGGACCTTTCCAAAAGAAGGTGTCAGAAGCAGCTAAAATGACATGAAGTCACCAAAGGTAGGGCAGACCTGTGTTTATAGTCAACAGTTGCAAGGGAGCCACTGGAATGAGTTACCTTGCCTAAAGGGCAAAGACTCATGCACAGCTTGTTTCAGCTGAGGGTGTATTCTTGCATAAATCTAGGAGGCCAACTCTGGTCTTTGGCAAAGTAGTCAGATTTCTACAGCATTACACTTCTGGAAACACAGTTGCTGTCAGCACTGCCTTTTGCAGAGCCCTGGAAAGCCACACTGAACGTTGCTAAGACAAGTCTAAGTTTATGGTCCATCAGCTCTTTCTATACAGGTTTAGCAGCAACTCAGTAACCTCTGTATTCTTGACCCCAGGAGAATGCTTAAATAGCAAATGTCGCTGCTGAGATCTTTCCACCCTGGTTCCAACTCTGCCTCTGACCAGACTGGGCTGCTTTTACATTTCATTGTTGAGTTGATGAAATTCAGTTTCTTCATTGAAGTCTTAAACTAGATACAAGTCCAGTAATATGCCGAATGCACCTCTAGATCTGTAGTGAGACGTGTCTTAACATACTTTCTCTAGATCTCTGAAAAAAAGTCAATTTCTAGAAAAAGCAGGTGTTGTAGGTTTGGGGTTTTTTTATGTTTCCTAACATTTTCTAGTTTAAAAAAACAAAATTACTATATCACCTTTGGCTCATTCAGCTTGAGCTTGAATATTTCATTTCCTGAAATGATCTATTTCATGGCTGGGCTTCACGAACGAAGATTTGGGGAGGGCTCTACCCATGTTTGTTGCAGGCGCGTTGGTGGTTAAAAAGGCTGATACGAGACAGGCATGTCCGGTTGCAAAAGGCACAGCAGAAAGACTCCTTAGGTGGTGTATTCTGCAAGGCACGATTCTTTCTGCGTTGTCTTTTCTCCTCAAGAGTGATCCTGCGTGCGTTCTCAAAAGCATCCGCAGCGTTATAGATGGTGTGTCTCCAGGCCTCCCAATTGGAGGCCAGAGTAGACCAGTTATGATGATCAATATGGCCAAGGCTGAGATGTTGTTTCAGGGAGTCCTTGTATCTTTTCTTCGGGGCTCCTCTCTTGCGGCAGCCTGTGGCAAGTTCACCATAAAGCAAGATCTTAAGGAGGTGGTGGTTGGTCCTTCATCCTGGAGACGTGCCCTGCCCAGCGCAGCTGTGTTCTCATCAGCATGGCTTCTATACTTGTGACTGCTGCTTGTTCTAGAACAGATGTATTGGTCACATAACCTGACCAGTGGATGTTTAGGATTGTGCGGAGACAATTGATCTATTTAAATATTTGGAAAATACCCATTGAAATAAATTGAAATGTTTTGATTTTAAATAATTAAAACATTAGCTTCAAGTAGCCTTTATCTATTTTGCATCACTTTAGGGGAGTAATTAGTTTCAGATCCCGTCCCTGTATACTGTTCTCCCTGAAATTCCATCCTCTTACTGTGTGAAACTCCTCAAATGCATTTGGTCTGCTTGGCATATAATGGCAGTCACATATTCACCATGTGCAACTCCAGCTACAGACTGTCCAGGCCATCTAGCCAATAGGAAATAAAGATGGCCGGAAGTCAAATTCATTAAGATAATCAGAAAGTTCAATACTGTGATGGAATGCAGTTAAATTAATTCAAATAGGACTTGTTGACCATATCAGAATTTCCTATTACTACTTTTAGACTTTCTCTTCTGTGGAAACCTCATTGGTTCAACTTTTTTAAACCATTTGAAGCCAAAAGCAAATGTTGAAATGTCAGCTTTAGCACGAGGTGGACATTTCAAGTGATGCAAGCTACATTGGTAATGTTTTAATAGTGGTATATGTTAGAATACTGTCTGGTCTGTTAAGTGGTTGTGTCTTAAATCCACGCACGATTATTCAGTGGCAAAGGGAAAAATAGAAATTGGTAGTGGTATAAATACTTTCTGCAAATTTATGAGCAGAAAAATAGACAAGTATTAGCAATGCAGTCAGAGGAGCAAACTAAGCAATGTAAATTTTGGCTTCATTTGTAAATATTTGGCAAATAGAAGACTCATCCATTTCAATGGGTTGGAGTCTTCAACTTTCTTCACCCAAAGGAATTGGAATAGAGCAGGTGTCCTATAGACTTCAATATTTGACATTAAACATAAATCGTCACAAATTATAATGAATTACATCATCAGCTACACATACCATGTTTTCAGAACAACCAACCATTCTTGAAGGCTAAGTTAATTGCAATCTCTAGCAGCTTCTTGCATTCTGAAGTTGGGGGAGTTTTGATGTTGACCAGGATGTGTTTTGATGTTGACTGCAATTGCCCATTGCCTGATCGTGAGGTCAGCTCTCACAGTCTGGAGTCCCTCATAATTTTATGTCAAAAACAGGTGAGAAGTGTCCAGACCAGATGCAGAGAATTATCCTAGGCCTATGGCAACTCCTGAAATGTATGTGTGAATGGGAAAAGTGTTAATTGACTTAAACCAAAAGTATAGAAGGGACTGTTCTTGTGATTTAACACTATAAACAAGTTCTAGTGCTCAAGTGTGGACCTTGTCACAGTTTAATTTACTCATGTAGATGTGCCTCAAAAGGGCAGGGATTTCGTCTTGTTCTTACTGATAGGATGGAAGGTTCAGCTTTCAGAAAGGTCAAATGAGTCATGTATTGTCCTTCTGAGACAGATACATGAAGTACAGTGTAGGTGTCCTCTGACAGGATATTAGCAACCATATGTCTGTCCACTTGGTGTAAATACGCCATATGCATTATTACTCTTCACATTAGTAGAGTTTGCATCCTTTAGTCCATGATCAAAATCCCGACCCCTCTTGCTGCTGGAAGCATTCTGTGCAACCTCTGCATAGTCTCCCATTAGAGGGGCTGCTGACACTTTGGGATAGGACACAATGAAAAATTGCCTTATTCTTAGTAAATATCCCTTTTGTGCAGTGAAAAGTGGAAAAACAACAATTTACCAAAACCAAGACAACAGAAAATACATAGGAAATTTCAATTTCTAATATTAATAAGAACAGGAACCCAGGAAATAGACATGCTGCTTAATATTATATTACATTCAATATGGTAGGGTCTTAAGGAAAAGTAATCTAGTTTGGCCTCCTGGATATCAGAGCAACAGGATCTTACAGTAATAACTGCGTAAGCATTCTGAAAATACATGTTCTTCAGAGTGATTTGCAGTTAACACTCAAAAATTTCAAGGCCCAGAGCTGGAAAGACTCAGGCACACAGGAAAAAAACCATAATTGAAAGGTGTCCCCTACTGAGTAGTGATGTAGTGAAAAATATAGCTTAGTTCTTGAATTAATACTGTATGTTCCCAACAAACATTTAATTTAATTTCATTTTTTAAAATAATTATGTGCCAAAAACTTCTAGTTGTTTTCTTTATGCAACTATTTTTAAAATATCCTTTTGAAAGAAACAACTGTCTCACATGTTAAGTCTCTCATCTGCAAGTGACATTTTAATAAACCCATGTCTCTTCTTCTAATATTTTATTAAATAAGCATGTGTTTAATGGGGAAGGGGGGTGAATTAATCCACCTATGTTAATTGATTGGCACCAAGTGCACTGTGGCTAATCTACACTGTGTATGTTTACTTGTAGAGGACATATTCCCTTGCAAATCCTGTGGCATTTGGTACCGAAGTGAGCGGAACCTGCAGGCCCATCTCATGTATTACTGCAGTGGGAGGCAAAGAGAGGGGCCACAGCTGTCAGAGGAGAGTGAAGACAGTGCTCAGCAGATATCCAGTGTCTGCCCCTTTCCGCAGTGCACCAAAAGTTTTTCGAATGCAAGAGCTCTGGAAATGCACCTAAATTCTCACAGTGGTAAGTACCATGTATTTTCATGGATCATCTTCTAGATTTAGCTATTTGAAGAATTATTCACTATAGACATTCAGACGATCAGTGTCTCTCCAAATATATGCAAATATTGCATGTAGATACTACCAAAATGTCAACAGTTTCTGACCTGTGTTCTACACCAAGCACCTCTCCCAGGTAACTGGTGTCATTTCTCTTATCTACTAATCCTCATTTGAATGCTATTTCTCTCTTAATGTGTGTATACACAGGCACAGGCAGCATTTCTTTACTGGTGGAGGTATGCTTAAGAATTCAGACACAATTAATTACTTCAGGATTCTGTCTACCAAATATGAGTTGGCTAGAGTACAATCTCTACCTGCCCTATTGCGGTGCTCAGGAGAGAAAGACACGCAGTCAGAGAGCAAGACCTTGTGAAGTAAGATATTAGTGTCCTAGAGTAGGCTTCTTAGGGAGAAGGCTTTAAGATCATGGTCCAAAACTTTGTGCTTTTACCAGGACACTTGTTTCATAAAAAACTTCTTGTTTGATAACAATATGCTTTTCCCTTATAATAAGTATAAAATGGGGATAGTATTTTAGAATCACAGAAACAAAGAATCATAGGATTGCTTAGATTGGAAAAGACCTCTGAGATCATGAAGTCCATCTGTTAAGCCAGCACTGCCAAGTCCACCACTAAACCATGTCCCTAAGCACCACATCAGCAGATCATTGTAGATGACCAATTTTGAGTTGAGTTGGGGCTGGAAAAACAAGTGAGTTTGCAGGACATTCTGTATTGGAGTTTTCAGTAGCAGAGAAAACCTAAAAATAAGAAAGACTGCAGTGTCAGTGTGTGGTGCGTTGGCTTTCTGGTGTACAGAGCTATGTCTGGAAAGAGGCAAGGGCTTTACGGGTGTTCCCAATCCTCCTGGTAAATGAATGAAGTCTAAAGGACACTAATGGGTTCTTTAGTCATAGAAGAAAGCCTTATTCAGCTGCAGTGTAAAAGCTCCTGGGGCATTAGGAATCTACTCTGTGGATTTGGTGAAGTGAAAAACATTCCTCTGATACTTGGGCAGCAATTGCAAATCTAGAAGGCATCATGTTGCCTTGGAGGTGTTTGGTACCTCACAGAACAGGACTAGAAGAGCGCTGAGTGAAAACTCCTTTGTATAGACAACACAGGCAACCCTTAGCCATTCAATTAGAGGTCAGATCTTTTTGTGCTTCGAAATCTTCACTTTGAATATCAGGCCATTGCCATTTTCTGTCTGTTGCCTAGCAAATATTTCACTGTTCAGTGAACCAGCAAAACCATAGGCTACAGCAGCTTCAACAAGAGCAGGTGAATGCAGCCCAACATGTCTTACAGCCTAGTAATTATAACCTGGTACTCTGGGAAGATAAACAGATTAATTTCTCCCCAAGCAGAGGAAAACTCTGAAATCTTAGCCATTGTGCAAAAGATTTGCCTCAGCTGTTTGCATTCGGTGGCATACCTTTGGTTTAGTTGGCTTAGGTGTCCAGGGTTTAGAGCTATGAGCTGTGAATGACTCTGTCTGCTTGTAATCTGGAGATAAGCATCTGTGTAGGTATTTCTTAGAACAGAGGCTGGATATCAGGCTGTTCCCTTTATTTTTAGTCATAAACCAGTCTGTTCAATCAAACTTTCTTTCTGGCCTCTGCAGCCAAGAGCAGGTCAAATTTCAAATGTCATTCACAACTTCGGGGGTCACTGATGCTAGGGGAGAAGTGAGGACCTCCAGATAAAACAGAGTGACTTCCGACAGAGTGGTCTGCAGTATTCTTACAGTTTCATTTTGTCCAACTACCACCAACCTAATTTATCTAACTAAGGTGTGGTATATGTGTTGATGTGTAGGCAGAGCAAATACTCATTTTTAATTCTGAATATCATCCCTACCAATATTTTTTCATGTTTTATTTTCTAAAAGGTAACCAGAATCCATGTTGTTGCAGTAAAGAAATTTAGTCTTATCTCTTTTTAAAGCATTTTCAGTTTCACAGTGCTATGAAACACAGGAGTTTTTGTTTAATCAGTGACTGTAAGATGGCTTTGAATGTACTGTTATTGATAGGGAAAGTGGTAGTCAATACATGAGGAAAAGGTGTTGTATTATAGCAGTAGTTGCCAATGGCCATTGTATGTGGAAGATAAAATGTCAGTGAAGCTGTGTCTTACTGCTCCTCCTGCCTTCACAATGAACACAACTTTCTGATGAGGATAGATCTGTAGCCTGTTCCCACACTACAGCCAACCCATGCAAGCAAAGAGCTCAGCATCAATAACACTCAAAATGCTACTTCTGCTTTGTCTGTGGCTTTCAGGCACTCTTGAGGGCTGTATGTCAAGCCATATCATAACCTTGAACCTCTTGACCTTGATGTGCTTTCTGTGCATTCAAAATTTCCAGTGATTGTATACGGGGAACATTATGTCTCCCTTTAGTTGTAACTGTAATTTCAAAGACTTTTTCATTTAGAATAAGTCCAGTCTATTTTTATCTTTTCGCTTGTTCTTTCTCTTCAGTTCTGCTGAATGCATGCAAATACTAGGGCTCTCCAAAGCAGAGCAGAAGTCTGGGAATAACCTCTAGCGGTTTGAGGAAAGACCAATTCAAGTATTTTCAGGGTGACTAATGCCATCTCATCAGAAGAAAATTAATCATTCTCACTGTGTTTGTACCTTTTGTGCATTTGATTTTCCAATATTCCTCACAAGAGACAAAATGGTCACTTTATTTTGTATTTTACTTGTCTTTTCTATAGGAGTGAAAATGGAAGAATTTCTCCCGCCCGGTGCTAGTCTGAAATGCACAGTTTGTACTTACACTGCAGACTCAGTGATTAACTTTCATCAGCACCTGTTCTCGCATCTTACTCAAGCTGCCTTTAGATGCAATCACTGCCATTTTGGCTTCCAAACTCAGAGGGAGCTACTGCAGCACCAAGAGTTACATGTCTCTGGCAACAAAATCCAGAGAGAAAGTGACATTGAACACTCTCCAAGTGGAAACGAAGAAGGTTTACAGCCAGCAACGGACCTGTTAAGCAGAAATGATGTTCCCCAGAGCCAAAAGACCATGCAGACTAAAGATGCAAGTTCTGATACAGAGCTTGATAAATGTGAAAAAAAGGCTCCACTTTTCCTTCCAAACCAGAGGCCAGAAACGCAACCTGCAGCAAATAAGCAGAGTTTTTCATATACTAAAATAAAATCCGAACCATCCAGTCCAAGACTTGCTTCATCTCCCGTTCAACCTAATATTGGTCCTTCTTTCCCAATGGGACCTTTTCTTTCCCAGTTTGCTTTTCCCCAAGACATCACTGTGGTTCCTCAGGCTTCAGAGATATTAGCCAAAATGTCAGAACTGGTCCATCGAAGGCTGAGGCATGGAAGTAGCAATTATCCTCCCGTAATTTACAGTCCTCTGATGCCTAAAGGGGCTACATGTTTTGAGTGCAACATAACATTCAATAATTTGGACAACTACTTGGTTCACAAAAAGCATTACTGCAGCAGCCGATGGCAGCAGATGGCAAAGTCACCAGATTTTTCCAGTGTTCCAGAAAAAATTCCAGAAGCTGTCAGTCCCAGTAATGGTCAAAGTTCTATAAACATCCTGAATGCAGCTCCTCACACATCAGATCCAGAGAATCAACTTCTGCAGACATCTTGCATAAACTCTTCCAGCGTTTTAGATTTGATCGGGCCAAACAATAAAAGTCATGAAAAAGACTTTACTGCACAACCCAAGAAGTTGTCAACTGCAAGCAACGGTGATGAGAAGATAAACGGAAAACCTTCTGATGTGAAAAATCCCAATGCTCCTTTAGTAGAGGGCGAGAGTGACCCTAACAAGACCACATGTGAAGCTTGTAATATTACTTTCAGCAGACATGAAACCTACATGGTCCACAAGCAGTATTACTGTGCTACTCGCCATGATCCCCCACTGAAGAGGTCCGCTTCCAACAAAGTGCCTGCCATGCAGAGAACAATGCGTACTCGGAAGCGAAGGAAGATGTATGAGATGTGCCTGCCAGAGCAAGAGCAAAGGCCACCACTAGTTCAACAGCGATTTCTAGAAGTGGCTAATCTTGGCAATCCTTGTACATCTACTCAAGAGTCAACAGAGGGTCTTGGAGATTGTTACCATCCACGATGTGATATCTTTCCAGGAATAGTCTCAAAGCATCTGGAAACATCACTGTCTATTAACAAGTGTGCTCCAGTTTCAAAGTGTGATACTCCCCACTCCACTGTATCTTGCTTGGAGATGGATGTGCCAATAGATCTCAGTAAAAAGTGCTTACCCCCGTCAGAGAGGACATCCACTTCTCCCAAAAGGCTGCTGGACTACCATGAGTGCACTGTGTGCAAGATCAGTTTTAACAAGGTAGAGAACTACCTGGCTCACAAGCAGAATTTTTGCCCTGTCACTGCCCATCAGCGCAGTGATCTGGGACAAATTGACAGTAAGGTGTTTCAAAACCCAGAAAGTGAAAGAAACAGCCCAGATGTCAGTTATGAGAGAAGCATAATCAAATGTGAGAAAAATGGAAACTCAAAACAGTCCTCTCCTAATGGAAACTTATTTTCCACACACTTAGCAACACTTCAAGGACTAAAAGTCTTTAGTGAAGCGGCCCAGCTTATTGCTACAAAAGAAGAAAACAAACATTTGTTTCTTCCACAATGCCTTTACCCTGGAGCAATAAAGAAAGCTAAAGGAGCAGATCAGCTTTCTCCATATTATGGAATAAAGCCAAGTGATTACATTTCTGGTTCTCTCGTCATTCATAACGCTGATCTAGATCAAAGCACAAATACAGAAAGTGAATCTCCTAAAGGCCAGGCGCCTTCGAATGGATGTGCTGTGCAGAAGAAAGAATCTCTTCCACTACTGCCGAAAAACCGAGGCATGGTAATAGTTAATGGGGGACTAAAACAGGAGGAAAGACCTGCCGCTAACCCACAGCAAGAGAACATTTCCCAGAATCCACCGCATGAAGATGGGCACAAGTCTCCTTCTTGGATCTCTGAGAATCCCTTAACTGCAAATGAAAATGTCTCTCCAGCAATTCCTACAGCAGAGGAACAGTTGTCTAGTATAGCTAAAGGTGTGAATGGCTCTACCCAGGCTCCAAGCAGTGGAAAGTACTGCCGACTGTGTGACATCCAGTTCAACAATCTTTCAAACTTTATAACTCATAAGAAGTTTTATTGCTCTTCACATGCAGCAGAACATGTCAAATGAAACAGTCGGTCACCTTTGGTACCTGTGTTTAGCATATTGTTCCATACAGTTTAAAGAAAGCTGTTTGAATTACATCTGGACAATCAGGAGATTTCACTATTGCTGAGTTGAAGACTTAAAGGTGTAATTTCATTACAGTCCATTAGTAAAGTGTATTATTGGTGCCATTTTCAAAAATATTAATTTATTTTACCAGCAGTATTCATAGCTGTAGTTATGTTATTTTTATTTAAAAACTTTATATTAAAGTCATTTGTAATGTTATTGTATAGTTATTGTGTAGCACATATGGTTTGCACTGTATAGTAGATTTTAAAGAAAATAGTCGCAAACAATACAGAAAAGCATTTTAGAAATAGCTTCAAAAGCACTTGTGTATCCTGATTTTTTTTCTTATATGCTGTTGCAGATATATGTATATGCTAAAATATAACTTGCAAAGAAGTTTCAACTATGCTGTGAAGTTCGCCTTAAAATTTCAATTTTTTGAACAATTGGGCTCAGTTTGCACTTTATATTTTAGCAGATACATTACCTTAGTCATTAGGCTTTGCATTTGTATGTAGCAGTATGTTTCTGTCCACTTTCTTAATCTGAAACGTACGTTAAATGAAGATGGCATTTTCTTTCTTGTATAGTACTTGTATTTTCTTTCGCTGATGCATCTCTGTCTCGATTTTTAAACCTTTGCTGTTAAATGCAATACTTTATAAAGAATGAACAAAATTACTGGAAGCAGTATTGTAAGTAATGAGGTCATATCAATCAGTTTTATCTTTTGAAAGGCACAGTCTAAAACAAAACCTAAACTCAATGCTGCAATTATGAATCTAATTCATATATAAGATATATTTAAATATAAGAGTAGCAATACTGCAACTGGTGATCACAAAGATAATGTTCTACTTCTGATAGAAATAATTTCTCAACAAATGTTGTTACTATGCATGTATATGGATGGAATAAAATTCCAGATCATTGGAGAAGTTTGGCAGTAATTTCTTTAAATTTGTTTTATTCTGTTATTCAAGGTACATTTAGAGCTCACAAACTGTAATGAATCTCTTAGGAACAGGCAAACATTGCCTCCTCTTCGATGGAAGCAAAGTGTTCAATGAGAAAATGAATACAAAGGATGTCTCCACTTCCAGGGAGTCCCTGCTGACAGGTCACTTGTGCAACTAAGTTTAAGACAAACTAGTGAACTAAAAGTTAAAATGTGAAGGTCTGAAACCAGGAAGGCTGTTCTCTTTAGTGATGCCAAGGAACCCTGGCAGTATCACCATATGTCAAAATCAGTGGAACAATTTCCTTCCTAACACCTCTGGTATGATTTTCTTGTGTTCAATGTTCCTATATGGAAAACAGTAACATTCATTTAATAGAATAGCAGTTTACTCCACTAATTCAGTTAGAAATACTATTCAATAATTTATGTTATATTAAAATCTGAACTAAGTACAATTAATACCCTTCACTTGCAATTGTTCAGTCTCCTGTACACCATTTTAATAAAAACATTGTTATTATAAAAGTGACTTATTGATGCACTTTCATCCTACAAATTTGAAAGCAAAACTATGGCCTGAATAGTTACATAAACAGTTGTATTTAATTTAGTCCTATATCAGCCAAAAAACCAACTCAGAACAAACTACCTAGAAGGATGGTGTTTCAGCTGAACAGCCAGTTGGAGACTAGAATAAGAACGTGCAATGTCACTGACTTTCAGCAATCCCACTTTGTAACTGAAATTGTTCTTTTTTTATTTGTAAGTGTAGGTACATGTGATCCAGTAGCAAAAAGAATAAACTCTTAAAAAATATTATTAACAACTCTGCTGGTTAACTGGGCTTTAAATACAGATCAGGAGTGCTTCAAATTGTGTTGTCACTTGCAACAAAGATAACAGGTGTATACATCAATTCTGTAGGCCCAAAATTGGTCCTATAGCAAACATGTTGGGTAATAAGACTTGAGAAGGAGAAAAAGCATTACAGACACAGGAAGAATAAAATAGACAAGTTGTTTATGATTATCAATTAAATCTTCATTAGAAAATAGCACACCGGTATATCTAAGACTCCGCAGTATTTGAGATAGATGTTACCTTTTGGCCTTTTTGGTGGCAAACATTATTTTGAAGATTATCCGTCATGAAAAATGGTTTAAAAAACTAGGTGATTACATCTGGATTAAAATAACCTAATTCTGAAAGATACACATGCATAGATGAAAACTTTTTAGGTGAAGCTGGTCAGAAAGCCACAGGTAGTGTAATTTACAATTGCTGAGCTCTGGGAGGCTGTTTAGACTGTGAGAAAGTAAAGGAGAATATTATGGTTAAAGGGAATGCCTAGCTGAAAAGTGATGCCGAAAAGGAAAAACCTTATCAAAAGACATTTGTGATCCAGGAATGCTGAGGGTACCTGATATATTCCAGAGGTAAATTAAAGCCTGCCATGCTGCATTATATTCTTCCCACTGGCTAGTCCAATTGCTTTCACACATCAGAATAATCCTGGTAGCATTTTCTCTTTATAAATCACCTATTTGGTTAATTGGTCCCACTTTTACAAGTTTGAAACAAGCACAACCTGTGCATCTGTGGGCATAGAGTTGCTCAATTTTACACACATTTTATACATTTTACTCACTTCACAGGAACAACTGGCAAGTCTGACACATGCTAAACTGCAAAATTATCACACTCTCTGAAAGTAAAACTGTTCACTAGCTAGGTGGGTAGCAGATACTGACATTTGATTTCTTATACATTTGTTAAAAATATAAAAACATTTAATAAAAGAAGCTGCTCACATAGCTGGGTATGGTTTCCTATAATCTTATACACTGTTTTTAATCATTTCACTTTCTTTATTACACTAATTTTTGCTCATGTGAAATGAGCAAATAAACACTCTGACCAGCCAGAAATCTCTCTCCTGTCTCTTAAAACAGTTTGCACAACACTGTCCTAATCCTAATCAAGCCCTAATCAAGATGGGCTTGAAGCACATCTGTTTAAATTGTAAGTATTGCTTACAGGAATTAACTACTTAAATCTGTTTTCTGATCAAGGGGTTATTTGTATTCCCTTTCGATTATATCTATGCATTTGTTCGGGTGTTAAACTGCCTATTGCTAAAAACTCCTCTTGAGTATAGACTCTTCCCAAGTTCTTCTTTTAGGTTTTTTTAGGTTTATTAATTATCTATGAAATCGCCTATGCAAAGGGAGTCTATTCTTAGTGAGTCTTTGACACCAGGAACTCAGCAGGAAGCAGAGCACCTCAGTTATATGGTTTGGATCTGTTAATCCCTGTCAGCTGGAGTCAGTGAATAAGTCTTTGGGACTGTTGAGTAGAGATGAATAACTCAACAACAGGCCTTAAAATACTTCCTGATTTTATGTTACAAAAAATAGTATTGCTTCACGTGAAGACTTACTATTTAGAGGATATGATTCCTGCCTAACTCCTTGTATACCGATTTCCTGGAGGGTTTTGTGTTCAACTTTGGGCTTTCTAAGGAAGATTTCCTTATTCACAAAACATCCCATCCACAGGCAGTGCTCATAACTAATGTGTGCCTGTATCCCTGTCTGCCTCATTTATTTGTCTATATCCTAAAATTCAGACTTTGAAAGGCTGCTGTGAGTCCTCATTCATACCACATCTTCATAGTTTTCACAGATGATGGTGATTTTTTTTCTACTTTTTTTTTCTACTTTTTCTACTACTTCCTGTAGTCATAAATCAGGTGGACATGCCTAATGCAAGCAGTAAAACATATTGCTACAAGCTGATGTTTGCTTGTCTTGAATTAATTGTAATGTTAGGATTCTGGTGACATTTTCTCATTATTACAAGTAATCATAAAACTTCATCATTGATGTTTGATGCGGATCCACACTCCTAACTTTCTTAGTCTCTCATTTCTACTAGATAACTGTTGACTATGTTCGTTGTCTGACATTGTCTGCAGGAATGTAACAGTCACATCCCAAACACAATCTGAGAGGATGTATACGGTGATTTCTCCCTTGTACAATAAATGCTGCACCAGTGGCAAATGTAAAATGAAAAAATAACAACTAAAAAACCTGATGTAGAAATTAAAAAATCAAATCTATTCAAGCACCATCATCAAGGTGAGGTGTAGGTGGGCTAATTCACTTTGCTGAATGTACATACATAAACTATGAACCAGAATCCACTCTAAAACGGTGGAACTCGGGTGGAGCTCTGAGCGGTCTGGAAAACCTGGCTTAAAGAAAATTCCATGGTGAGTATAATGGAAAAAGTGTGGTGTGGGATAATCTTATTGAGGGGCAAAGAAGATAAGGAAAAAGGGAATCAGCACTGTGTTAATCCAGCGAGTGTAGTATGGGTACACTGATGGCTGCAGAAGGCAGCAATTACAAGGCATCAGAACTATAAAAATGCTACATGTCCCAGGAAACCTATTAGAGAGGCTAAAATACTGATGAGACAAAATCCTTGGAAGATCACTCCCAAATGCTAAATATTGCCAATGTAAAGGTTCTGGCTTCTGTTGGATCTCCTTTTCCGTAAGGCTGACAATGGGGAAGAGAACCACAACTCTTCCCACCTTCCAGGTCACCTTCACAGTTGGGACATTGCACTGCCATGAACTGTCAGGACAGACATCCACAGAACAGATATTTGTGACCCTATTGTAAATTAGAGTCAAATCAGATACCCAGGCTTCAGCTGGGTATCTGCGAGCACACCTGGTCCTCTCCACTGAGGTCTTCCACACAGTGCTTTGAAACCAGACCTCTTAGAGGCACAGCAAAATGAACTAAAATACTACTGGCACTTCTGTATGGAGTAAAACAGGGCAAGGGAAGGGAGGTGTGTCACATATGAACTGCAGTCACATATGAACTTTCTTCATAATATAGCAGCATGAGATGAACGAATTTTGACTAGAAGAGTGAGATGAGCTGTTGTGCTGGGGTGAGCAGGTAACTAATTCTGACAATTTCAACTTCTAAATATATGGGTTTTTTTTACTATATACACAGACACACAGTTCTGTATAACATACATTTACATATAAAAACATAGTTATGTATACATAGAGAGATGAGAAAATGTCCAAACCTAAACTAGATTAAGCAGTTAGACCAAGCACCTGAATGAGGTGATTTGACAAATCCTTCATTGCAGAAGTAATAGCCAGACCCTTTAATCCTCATTGCATAGGGAAACTGGCACCTTTAGGTGCATGGAGGGTGATGATACATTCATTCACATTCAAATTTAAATGTCCTTCTGGCAAAATTGCTATCTCCCCTTTCTACTCTCAGCTGCTTTGAACAGGTCCCAAGCCAAGGAATTTGTTCCTGCCTACCAATTCAATGGCCCACACACTTATTTTTTTCCACCTGACAACTTAGTTGGTTTTGTAATTGTCTTGTTTTGTTTTCTGTTGTGTTTAAAAAAAACTTTTTATCAGCCGTGAATGAGGGTACCTGACTCATGGTGGAGGCAGGTGAAAGGATCCACCTGAGCTGGTGTATTGGAGAGTGTGGTAATCTCCACCAGCAAAGTGGAGAGAGGTCACCAACTCTGCTATGGGACAGTAAGTGAGTGAGCCCATGGAGAGCACCAGTTCTGTGGCGTTAACCCAACTTCCTTAATCACCTGAGCCTGGTGATTAAGCCTTTCAAAGCACAACTGATAATAGGAACAGTAGCTCACATACCATTCAGTTTTGCATGCAGGTGCATATGGCTAAGAATAGCAGTTGTTCCTTTCAAACCTTTAGATAGGGTGCTGAATAATAAAAGCCAGAAATGTGATGAATAGAACAGGATAAAGTTGGAAACACCTCCAGAAGTAGTTTTCATCTCAGCTTTCCAAGTTCTAGGTGTTCACACCGAAACTGTGAAGCCAGATTCCTGTGATCTTGCAGTGATGGTTATATGTAAATGTAATCACTTTTCAGAACCACCA